ATTCCTTAGAGTCAAAGGGTCAATTCACGCTGTAACTTGCAGTAAGATGCTGGCTGCTGTTGTTATTACACTTTAAAACATTTAGAATTTATTTAAGTCATATATAAAAATATATTTTAGTTTTATTTATAAAATGCTTAATGTATATACTTTAAAGGGACGTGGTGGCGCTGTGGGCTAAACCGCAGAAGCCTGTGCTGCAGGGTCAGAAGATCCGGCAGTCGTAAGATCGAATCCACGCAACGGAATGAGCACCCGTTGCTTGTCCCAGCTCCCGCCAACCTAGCGGTTCGAAAGCATGCAAATACGAGTAGATAAATAGGGACCACCTCGGTGGGAAGGTAAACAGCGTTCCGTGTCTAAATCACACTGGCCATGTGACCACGGAAAGATTATCTTCGGACAAACGCTGGCTCTATGGCTTGAAGAGCGGGATGAGCGCCGCCCCCTAGAGTCGGACACGACTGGACAAAAATTGTCAAGGGGTACCTTTACCTTTTTTACCTATATACTTTAAAAGCATAATGTATTAAGTGGTGCTTTGAGAAAAGGCAGGTAAGTTGGAATACAGAGGTGATCTTGAGTATAAGTACAGTATATTGTATTCTCGAAGGCTTTCATGATCTGATAGTTGTTGTGGGTTTTCCGGGCTGTTTGGCCATGTTCTTAAGGTTTTTCTGCCTAACGTTTCACCAGTCTCTGTGGCCGGCATCTTCAGAGGACAGGAGTCAGAACGCTGACAGAGTTTGAATTGAGCAGGGGTTTATACTCAATTAGTCTGTGATTCTGTGATTACCATCAACTTGTTTATATTATTTACTTTTTGTTTATATTCACTGTATACTTCACTATGTCACTAAGCTTTTCAAACTACAGCGGTACCTTGGTTTACGAACGCCTCGGTTTACAAATTTTTGGTTTACAAACCAAAATCCATAGAAAATAATGTCCTGGTTTATGTTTTTCTCTCCCCCACCCCCGCTGTACGAAAGGGTTTCCCCAGGATGCATTGTGCCTGGAGGTTTCTAGTGCTGCCCCCATTCCTAGCAGAATCTGCATTTCGGTTTACGAAATTTCTGCATTACGTGACGTCCCGGAGGACGCATTAATTTCATAAACCGAGGTACGCCTGTATCAAAACTATCAGCTAATAACATTGTGCCATGTGTATTTTGTGATGTTGATAATTTCTTCTACAATGACACTGTAGTTTCAGTCAGCAAATTCTTCTCCAAAGATATTCTCAGAGCACAACTAAAAAGCAGTGGCAACAGTTACTTCCTTGTTCTGATGTTCGTACAGTGGTGCCTCGCTAGACGATGATAATCCGTTCCACTGAAATCGCTGTTTAGTGAAATCAGTGCCTAGCGAAAAGCATTTCCCCATTGGAATACATTGAAACCTGTTTAATGCGTTCCAATGGGGAAGAATCGTCGTTGTCTAGCGAAGATTGGCGATAGGAAAGTCGCTTTGTGAACCACCGATCAGCTGTTTAAATCGCTGTCTTGCGAAGTTTAGGTCACGAAAACACCTGTTTGCGAGCGTGGAGGGAGCTGTCAAAATCGTCGTCTTGCAAAAATCGGTTTGCGAAGCAGGGACCAAACATTGTCCAGCAAAATTCCCCCATAGGAATCACTGTTTTGTGAACCACTATAGCGATTGCAAAAAGCCAATGTCTAGCGAAAAAACTGTCATGCGGGATAACTGTCTAGCGAGGCACCACTGTATCTCTATGCCATCTGTCATCTCATTTTCAGCTTTCACTGCAGCTTTTTCTTACCCGTAAAAGTTGCCAGTTACACTAACACCTGTTGTATTAAGGCGTTTGTCAAAGGCTCTTTCATTTTCTCTCCCCCCATGTAAATATAGGCAGGAAAGTATTTTTCTGGTTGTAAAATTTCCCCTGAATCTAATTTGGATATACATGCACCAAGGGTCCTTCTAAGGTATGCACCTGTGTGCATGTAACCCCACCTCCTCTGCATACCCACAGAGATGGTTTTCAGGCCCTTTGGTTCCGGTTGTGGTGGAACTCTGCACTGTGGGGTGATGTCATGTGTGCAAGGGCCAGAGCCCTGCTGAGTGGGGCTGAGAATTAGAGGAAACATTGTCCCTTTTTTGTATGTGTAAATTCTGTGGTATACTCTTTGTAGTCCTTGCCATTTTCTTTGTAGAAGTCATAATTTTCTATTAACTTTTATACGCCTGCAGAAAGATTACTAAGTCTGGGAGTTCCACCATGTTTCCGATTTCTTTACTTACATGAAGTACACTACATTTGGTTTGTCTGTTATCTATAAACAGTTTTTTAATGTCCTTACTCCACACTGGCTTAATGTTTGATGTGAAGCATCAGAAAATTATTATTGTCTATCAAACAGTGAACATTGAACATTGGTTGTTGTGGGTTTTTCAGGCTCTTTGGCCGTGTTCTGAAGGTTGTTCTTCCTGAAGTTTCGCCAGTCTCTTTTTTTATACCTCTTTTTTGTCGTGGGTCCAACTCCAACTACCACCCACGACAAAAAAGAGGCATAATCAAAACACTGGTAGATGGTGCAAATCAGAACTGTGAAGCTCAGTTTCTCAGCACCAAACTTAACCATCTGAATTGGGCCCTACAGGCGAATGGCTATTCCAAGAACGAAATCAAAAGAGCCATCAAATCAAGAAAAACAACACCAAACTGAAGAGGAAAAACAGCCACCCACAAATAAAGTATTTCTGCCATAAATCAAAGGGGTCACGGACCGCATGGGGAAAGTTTAAAAAAAATAACCTACAATCAGTATTCAGACCTACCACAAAAATACAACAAATGTTACGATCAGCAAAGGACAAAGGGTACCCCCTCACCACTGCAGGAGTATACCAGATACCTTGCAGTTGTGGAAGGTATATATTGGAACCACAAAATGCAGCATTCACATCAGAATCAAAGAACATGAGAGACACTGCAAACTAAAAAACCCGGAAAAAGCAGCAGTAGCTGAACACGCCCTAAAACAAGCGGGACATGAAATTCTATTTCAGAATACTGAAGTACTGGACAACACCAGCAATCATTATGTTAGACTGCACAGGGAAGCCATTGAAATCCATAAACACCAGCAGAGCTTTAACAAAAAAGAGGGAAGTCTAAAACTTAACAAGGCCTGGCTTCCATCACTGAAGAATACAGCCTGCGAAAGGTCAGCAAACTCTACCCAGCCAGGAAGACCAGGGATCATTGCACAAAAAAGGCCAGCTAATGACATGCCTCAGTCACAGTGACAGATAATCTCTCCCCCTTATCACAACAATACATCCACAACAAAAACATGCGGATCACCATCATCACCCTATCTCCTGAAAAGGACAAAAGCTGTTCCCACAGCTATAAATAATCGACTATCCAACAAACAGCAACAGAGCATGGACAGAGTTCCTACTCCAGTCCTCTGAAGATGTTGGCCACAGAGACTGGTGAAACGTCAGGAAGAACAACCTTCAGTACACGGCCTAAGAGCCCGAAAAACCCACAACAACCATCAGATCCCGGCTGTGAAAGCCTTTGAGAATACAACATTGAACATTATTGTCTTCTGAATATGTTTGCTATCTCCTTGATCCCTCTATGCACATTAAATGCATTGTGGGTTGTCTCTATGTTTTCCCCCTTCTGCACTGTTTGAAACATAATTTTCTTTCGTTCCCTAAGTTTGTTTTGGACGCTGCTGTGTATTTAATATCATCTTCATCTTTTTAATATACATTTCTCTTTTTGAGGTTGCTGTTGGTCGCATCTTTTAATACCTCTGTAAATTTAGAGCAAGTGCCATTTATTTCTCAGCTATTTGAATATGTAGTCATATTGATTTCTTCATGAATTATCTTCTTTAAAATGGTATATACAATTGGATCACTTAGTTGTTAACTTTTTGTGCTTTTTCTGTTCCCTTTTTTCATTTTCTTTTATTTGAAGTAAACTACAGCAACAACAGGATTATGGTCTGAATTTGTATAAGCTCTAGGATAAGTTTTCACTGAATTAATTTTGTTTCAGTACCTTTGATTAGCCAGCATATAATTTATTTGGTTCCTGAACATTTTGATAGTACTGTTTTGTTGTGGTGGTATCTTTTTGTGTAGTCTCTTTAGTGAGAATTTGAATGTGGTCTTAGTGGCTACAAGTTTTTTCTTCACAAAGTTACAAGCCTTTGTTAGTCTTTTCTTCTTAGTCCATACTTTGCATTATGAATACTGTCGTTTACAAATAATTTGTGTGATGCAGGATGATATAGCATACTGGTAGAGAAGAAACACATCTTGATATTCTAGTAGTTAAATGGATACCTTGAAGCTATTTTGAATGTTCAGAAAGTGGACAGAGGTAGGATGCTTCTTTGGGGTATGATTTAATGTTCTACAAAAACGAAAGTTATCTACAGTGGACCCTCTACTTAAGGAATTAATCCGTATTGGAATGGTGGCTGCAAGTCGAAAAGTCTGTAGGTCGAATCTCCATTGACCTACAATGCATTGAAAACCGATTAATCCCATAACCAGTGGTTTTTATTCTATTTTTGTTCCATTTGGGGTTTTTTCTGGTCTGTAAGTCGATTCTCTGGCTGCAAGTCAAATCTAAATTTTGCAGCCAGAGAAGTCTGTAACTCGAAAAGTCTGTAAGTCGAGCCGTCTGTAAGTCGAGGGTCCACTGTACTTTTGTTTTTATAGAAAATTAAATAAAATTAAAAAATACAGTCTGGATATGAAACAAAAGTGACCTATTTTTGTTTTGTTTCATATCCAGATACAGTGTATTTTTGTTGTCATCACTTGTCAATTGCTAGAGGAGGGAAGGCTTTTACATCTTGTTTATTTTTTACTCAAATACCTTTGAGGCACACTTCGCCATCCAGTTAAGACAAAAGGAATAACTGAATGAAGTTACCTCTCCTGTAGTAGTTGTACTTGAGTATACATACTCACCTTTAATTGTTTTTTTTCCTGTTTTTATGCAGGTAACAGATCAGTCTGTTAAAGCATTTGCTGAACACTGTCCTGAGCTGCAATATGTTGGGTTTATGGGCTGTTCTGTTACATCTAAAGGAGTCATACATCTCACTAATGTAAGTACAGTATTAACATTTCCTGTTGTTCTAACCGGGGTATTCCTACATGATAGACATTTTCCAGTTATTTTTGATATAGCAGACAATTTATAAATGAGGCAGTTTATTAAGTTAAAATACTGATGAATAGTAGCTTCTGTTGTTGTTCTGATCTGCTGTTGTCTCCTCCAGTTTACAGTGATCTTATCAGGGGTTTGAGTTACATGAAACATTCAAGGAGTGGTTTACTGTTGCCACCTCACCTCTGGTGAATTTTCATGACTGAATGAGGAATTTGAACCTAGGTTGAAAGGGTCCTTGAAAATGGTAGCTGGGAGGAGGAGGAGGAGGAAATGTTTAATTCCCTCCAAATGGCCACAGCTGATGATGTCATCACACTTATGTGAAGTAAAGTTGCACAACTGGATTCTGGCTATTGTTGCATTAAGGAAATGTGATTACATCTGGAGAATTATTGGGAATTTTGGTTGTATAACTGATTTCCTCTTCCTCACTGACCTTCCGTTAATCAAAATTTGCTTAGACATAAGGGATAATCTAGAATGGCATGGCATTGGGATATGCAAACTGCAGTGATAGGGTAGTAACTCATAATTTTTGGGAGGCCAAGAGAGCAGAAATATATTTCTGTACAAAGGAGACATTTGAATCCAACCATACTGTCAGTACAAAAATTCAGTGTATCAAGAAAAAATTGTTTATCAAGATACAGAAATGGATTTTTTTCTGGAAAATGTGGATTAGAATTTTTAATGGCCTAAATTGATTGACATTGGTGCTACTATTTTTTAATTTATCTTCCAGTTTTCTCCTTATTTACAAACAAGTATATAATGTCTATAGGGACGTGGTGCTGCTGCGGGTTAAACCGCAGAAGCCTCTGTGTTGCAAGGTCGGAAGACCAGCAGTCGTAAGATCGAATCCACGCGACGGAGTGAGCTCCCGTCGCTTGTCCCAGATCCTGGCAACCTAGCAGTTCGAAAGCATGTAAAAATGTGAGTAGATAAATAGATACCACCACGGTGGGAAGGTTCCATGTCTAGTCGCCCTGGCCACGTGACCACGGAAACTGTCTACGGACAAACGCTGGCTCTACGGCTTGGAAACGGGGATGAGCACTGCCCCCTAGAGTTGGACATGACTGGACTAAATGTCAAGGGGAACCTTTATCTTATATAATGTCCAGATGCATGATAGTTGACTTATACTTCCTAGAGATAGTCACCTGCAATCTGTTAATTGCAACTTTGAACCTGATCAGTTTAACAAGTCAATTTATGAAATACAATGGAATAGTTTTGTAACACAGTAAATTTCTGTGGGAAAACACACAATGTTTCTTTACAGCATATTTACTGTCCTATATGATTGAACAGCAGTTGGAATTAGCATGGAAGGCAACACAGGTGTCTTGCAAAGAAGATGAGAGAGAGTGGTGTCCAGTCATATTAGAAGCATAAGAAAAGCCTTACAGGATCAGAGTGAAGACTTGGCAACCCATAATTTTTGTTCTGACAGTGGTTAACTAGACATATATGGGAAACATGCAAACAGGGCATGATTACAGAGCATCTTGACAAGCAGCTGGTATTCAGAGGCATAAAGCCTGCAATAGTGGCAATGCTTCATGAATAATAGTACTGTAGTTCTTAGTAGTCTTATGATTTGTGAATTTGTCTAATTCTTTTTTAAAGCCATCCACTACATTTTGTGTATTGAATTCCATAGATTGACAGCATACAGTGTGAGGAAATCATGTCCTTTTGTCAGAGATCTCCTGTCATTGGATGATACCAGTGTCTAATGTTATCAGGGAGGACAACGTCTAATCTGTTTTCTCTACACTGTGGATATTTTTAGGCATTTCTACCATGCTTCTTTATCTCTCTCCCCCCCAGTTAGAATGCCACACATGTTGTAACCTTACCTTATAAGAGAGTTACTTCAGCCCTTGGTCACTTTGCTACTTTTCATTTTACAGTAGTATTCCAACTATGGAATATCTTAACCTTGCAATAATGACATTATGATCTTGGTGGTACCATTTTTTTTCTTAATGGGTCCTAGCTGAATTAGCTATATCACCTGCAAACTGGATTTTAGTAATGTTACTTTGGTTTTGCCACACACCTAAGATCCTTTTTCTGATTAGTCGCCACTAGAAATGAACATAAACTATAGCGTGGCAGTTCGGTCCATGTCAGTGCTGCACCTGCACCAGTGTTCTGTGGGTGCCGTGCACTCCCACCCCCTGCCTCCTCTGTGTACTTGTCCATTCCCTGGGCAAAGCATGCTTCCCTCTCTGCCTCCTCTCATAGCTCCCCACTCAGACGACAAGATGGGTCAGGGAAGTCCACAACGCTGCCTTTGAGTGCGTGGCTATTGGAGGGGGAAAACATGCACTGCGATTGGTTAGTGGACAGTCACACTGAGGAAACAGGTAGGGAAAAGCACTTCACCTGGAGAATGGGTAAGGATACAGAGGGGCCGGGAGAGGGGAATGCGCGGCACCTGTGGGACATCTGCTGTGCTGAACTGGGTTGAACCATGAAACTGTTTTTCGTGCCCATCTCTACTCACCCCAAGTTCAAAACCTGTCAGTTTATGTATTCTTTGTCCCTTATGTGTTGGTCTACATTGAACTGTATTGGCTCATTTTCCAGTTTTAAGAGAACTGTTCAGAGGCTTTCATTTTTTCTTTTTTGTTTTCACCACCATAGAACCTCTATTCTGGAGCCAGTAGTTGGAGGCTGGAAAAAATTTCTTTGGCAAGAAGCAGTCTATGTGCAGCCAGCACTTTGGATACTTCCTATCAATATAGTTAACAGAAACCTTCTTCATCAAAGGCAGAAAGAAATTCTAGGGTTATTTTTGAAACCAGTGGGCAAGGTTGCTTCTACTGTCTGTCAACCATATTGCTCAATTGTATTTTCCTCTTTAGTTTGTAGCTCAAGTGGCAGAGGTATTTCTCACTATGCTGCCAAGGTTTAGTAAGCAGATTTAAAAATAACAGTATAGTTTACCTAATAGCCTTGGCACTTTATTGACCATATCTTTCCACGTAACCTCCACAATTCACTGACTGTAGGAAGATTTCTCTTAATTTAAAATAAAATATGTATGAGACAACGTATAGTGAAAATACTGTCTGTCTTCCATGCTTTTCACAAACTGAATCAGTGGTTGATGTTCATGTGCTCTTGGCAGTTTTTTTTAAAAAGAAAGATGTCCTGGTTAATCATGTTGTCTTGTCAGCTGATCTTTTTTGTCCTCTGCTAAAGCATAATGGCCTTTCAGTAATCTTTGTGGCTGCATGTATAGTGATAGTGAAGGGCCATTGAAACAGTAACCGCTAATACAGTGGTGCCTCGCAAGACGACCGTCCCATTTAATGACGAAATTGCATCACGATGAACTTTTTGCGATCGCAACAGCGATCGCTTTACAATGTTTTAAATGGGTTTTTTTCACTTTGTGATGATCGGTTCCCTACTTCGGGAACTGATTCTCGCAAAATGATGATTTTCGGCCAGCTGATTGGCGGTTTCAAAATGGCCGCTGGGTAAAAAAAATGGCTCCCCGTTCTTTTCTGGGAGGGATTCCTCGCTGCACGGGCAGCAAAAATGGCCGCGCTATGGAGGATCTTCGCTGGACGGTAAGTTTCAAGCCCATAGGAACGCATTAATTGGGTTTTAATGCGTTTCTATGGGCTTTTTTATTTCGCATTACGACGTTTTCGTTCTACAGCAATTTCGCTGGAACGAATTAACGTCCTAATGTGAGGCACCACTGTAATTAAATGGAGAACAGCTTTCACCAAATTGTTGTTTTCAATTGCTGTATTGCTTACTAAAATTCAGAAAATATCCTCCGTCTTTATCTCAGATATCTTTATTGGACAGTCTTAATTCAGTATGAAGACGGGAACATTCTTTTAGCAAAACCCTTATGACCAGGGGAAATTTTAATTTAACTCCCTTTCTCATTTTTGAATCTCTCTATTCATTAATTTAAATAGTTCAAGTAGACAATAATTTTCTATGTGAAATTCACTCTGAGATGATTAACATCATGTACATATTTGTTTGACAGTTAAAGTAGTTTCTTTGAATAGATTCTGTCTTCCATTTGTTAATCACCCAATTCTATAGAAATCTTTTGCTCTCATTTTTTCTGTTAATCCTAATTTTACCCTGTCTTTTTGTAAGAAGGGCCCATAAATACAGAATGAATGCCTTCCTATTAAGATTGCCAGACTAGAATTGTCTAGTCATATTTTTAACACATATACACACCTCTACAGGATATGTAGAGATAGTTAGAGCCAAACATAACCTCATTTACTGTATTAGCTCTGGGCATTAATATGGAGTGGGTGGGTATGGAGAAATACTGGTGCAACTGAAGACAGACCATTCTGGAGCTCAGACAGGATGTCATCACTCCCTATCGTTCTCTTGAACTTTCCAACACAGGGAGCACCAGGATCCATTCTTAAAGTTTCCTACATTACATTCCAGCAATTCTGACAAGTATAGGACATTATAAAGCTGATCAACATTCTTCTTCTTTTTATTCGATATCTTTTTATGTATTGTCTTTTTATTATCTGCTTTTTGTATCCTGGATGAGTTTGGAATTATTTTATCTGTACCGTACAATGTCCTTACATGTTGTTTCCAATAATAATAGTTTCCTATTCCCTATTAGTTTGGTTCTTTGGGGAAAAAAACCCACAATTTTCATATTTGGGCACTGTCTATTTTGATGTAAGTCTTGAGTTCATGTTATTTATCATGAGCCGGTTGCCCAAGCCTGTGAGAACTGCTCTGCCCAAACAATTTAAATGGACTGTTTGCTTTTTTATGTTGTAAGAGACATTAATATATTATAAAACTAGACTACAGTCTAAAACTGGACTACAACCCTAAACTGGGTCTGTAATATAACAGTCTGCATATATACTGCATAGGGCAAAGAAATTTGCTTCTGTACTT